CACCTCAGGGTCAATTTTTTATGGTAGCCCAAATCTCAGTTGTATGGGTGTATGTATATATCTCAATTTTAACTCATGAGCTATTGCTGCAATCTGCTCCGATTGTATATTTTATCTTTATGAGCGCTGTTTTTATTGTGTTATGTTATGTGAGCTGGTCTTTGACCTAATAAATTATCTATCTACACCCACTCAAACTCGGGGCAATCACTCCTCCCGGCCCCTGCCACGCCACGCCACTGTGGCCTTGGCATCGAAACCAGCTGTGTACAAATGGGCCTCCAACAGAATGTTGTGGTCAAGACTGTTTCTGTTCATTGTTCCAGTTATCCATGCTCTCCTCTAGATATCCCATTCCAATTTTTCCTTCCTCCCAACCAACCAATCAGCCAGGATTACCCGGCTACTGAACATACCCAGTCCTCGATGGACTGAGTTCTTTTTTGGAGTTTAGGTTGCCTCATTGGCACTTTTTTCTGACAGATTAGAATCAACAATAGTAAAGGGTAAAGGGGACCCCTGACCATTAGGTCCAGTTGTGGCCGACTCTGGGGTTGCAGCGTTCATCTCGCTTTATTGGCTGAGGGAGCCGGCGTACAGCTTCCAGGTCACGTGGCCAGCATGACTAAGCCACTTCTGCCGAACCAGAGCAGCGCACAGAAATGCCATTTACCTTCCTGCCAGAGCGGTACTCGCACTTTGACGTGCTTTTGAACTGCTAGGTTGGCAGGAGCAGGGACTGAGCAACGGGAGCTCACCCCGTTGCGGAGATTCGAACCACCGACCTTCTGATCGGCAAGTCCTAGGCTCTGTGGTTTAACCCACAGCTCCACCCACATCCCAGAACCAACAATATTCATTCCTAAAGATTGGAACTAGAGAGAATGCTATAGATTTTCATTGTCCTCAATAGGTGATAGATGAGGACCTGAATTACACCATGAGTATACATTTTTATCATGTTTAGTTATTCCGCTGAACAGAGGAGGTGCTGAATTTGAAAGGAGCCATGTTCACAGCAGGAGGGAAATAATATACCATTTCTCCTGTGAATACCATCTCTCCACAAGACTATATAAGTTATCTTTACCCTTTTCATGTTGATTCATTAGGTGTTTTTTTTTAAAAAAAACCTTTTATGTAATAAGATGAAGCAGTCTGGTTTTTCAAATTATTTACATTGTTAAGATAAGATATGGAACACATAGGGAGAGTGTTTAGAACCCAATTAGCAGCTGGTGTTCAAGCCCCTGTTTGATCCAGCTTAAAAAAAAAAAAGACACCTAGATACAATATGTGCCATTTCTTCAATGGGGGAAAAACACTTTAAACCCTCATGATCTGTAGGGGGTGTCTGAACTTTAAGGACCCAATTATAATTGCAGGTGTTTGAAGCGTGGGCCGCAAATGTTTTATGCATGATCCCAGGTGCTATATTCCAAGAAAGTGAGGGATGATTTGAATGTAGCAAAGAAGGTGAGTGGTGCCTACAGGCAAAACCGAGCGCAATAATCACATTTGGGGACGCAGAAAATTGCACTATTTTCAACATTTTACGGAATCACCATGTAACTGCAGAAAGGCACTTAATTTCAGACACTTAATTTCACCTCTGTAGTACCCCCCATGATAGGAAAGACTCAGGTGTGCACAGAGGTGAAAGCAGAAGACTATATTCCCTAGTTCCTGAATGGCTAAATCTGCTATTTCAAGGTGCAAAACCATGCTAGGGTGCGAAGCTATGTGAGGGTCATGCTCAAATGCCCACTGCCCCTTTGTGTCACCACATTCAGAGGCAGTGTGAGGTTGCACTATGGCATGTTATTCATAAAGGTGGGAAGGTAAGCACATAAACTATGGAATAATAATAGTAGTAGTAGTAATAATAATAATAATAATAATAATAATAATAATAATAATACAGTGGTACCTCCAGTTGCAAACGGGATCCGTTCCAGAGCTCCGGTTGGATCCCGAGGTTTCCACAACCAGAGGGACTGCTTCTGTGCATGCATGTGGCGCAGTAGAGCGCTTCTGTACATGCGCAGGCAGCGAAACCCGGAAAAATAGTTCCGGGTTTGCCGCGTATGTATCCCGAAGGATACATAACCAGAGATGAACGTAAGTAGAGGTACCACTGTAATGTGTATATCACCCTCAACCCACAGGTCTCAGGGCAGTTTACAACACAAAATCATAATACAAAAAAGACAAAGCACATAATAAAAACAAAAACAACCTAATTCCCTTCTCCCCAACACATTTTAAAAGGCCAATGGATGTCAATCAGCTCAAGGCCTCGCACCTAAAGGTGTATAAGGAAGGTGTCAGCTGAACCTCCCTGGGGAGAGTGTTCCACAAACGAGGAGCCACTGCAGAAAAGGCGTGTTCTCTTGTTGCCATCCTCCAGACCTCTCATGGAGGAGGCACATGAAGATGACCTCAGGGTCTTGGTAAGTTCATATGGAAAGAGGCGGTCTTTGAGGTATTTGTAGGGATTTTTGACTACGTGCTATTTGATGCAGCTTCCCACAGAAGCAATTAAGGAGTTGGCCGAAGGCCAAGAAAACTGAACAGAGGGAGTTATTCTGCCTAGAGATATGGGACCTTGGATACAACTCTGCTATTTGTCGAGGTCACCCACATAGGCATGATGACTCATGACCTTCCGGTTGGTTGGTTGGTTGGTTGGTTGGTTAGTTGGTTGGGCAGTGTTTTCTGAGAGTTTGTTGGAGTTTGTTCAGAGAGAGTTAAGATCCGTGTCTGTATCCTGTATATAGTAATTTGTGAGTCTGCTGTAAATAATAAACCTATAAGTAACCAAGTTACTAGTAGCAGCGTCTTGTTCCTGCTTCATCCTGCCTGCAATTGACTGCTTCTGGACAGTCTGCGTATGCTCTGCTATATTCAACAGGTTCTGGCTAAGATCCTTCAACAGTATTCACTACCAGAAGACATGGTGTGGTGCTGATCGGAACATAGGAAGCTATCGTGGACTGTATCACACACTTTGTTCCATCTAGCTCAGCGGTCTAAACCACTGAGCCTCTTGGACTTGCCGATCGTAAGGTTGGCAGTTCGAATCCCTGTGACGGGGTGAGCTCCCGTTGCTCTGTCCCAGCTCCTGCCAGCCTAGCAGTTCGAAAGCACACCAGCACAAGTAGATAAATAGGTACCACTGTGGCAGGAAGGTAAACAGTGTTTCTATTCACTCTGGCTTCTGTCTTGGTGTCCCATTGCGCCAGGAGTGGTTTGTTCATGCTGGCCACGTGACCCGGACAAACGCCGGCTCCCTTGGCCTAAAAGCGGAGATAAGCGCCACACCCCATAGTCAAATTTGACTGGACTTAACCGTCCAGGGGTCCTTTTCCTTTACCGTCAACACAGATTGGCAGTGGCTCTTTGGAGTTTCAGTCAGGGGAATTTATCAGCCCTACTTAAGAAGTGTGCATGCACACTAAAGCTCATACCAATAAGAAACTTGGTTGGTCTCTAAGGTGCTACTGAAAGGAATTTTTTAATCTTGTTGCGACTCCAGGGTTAGAAGCTGATGCTTTTTGCATGCTATGACACTTCTCCTTTTGATGCTGATATATATGGGACATTCTTGCACCATGGCCACACGATTTGAGAGAACTGGATACTGGACTAGATCTGCCTTTGGCCTGTTCCAGCAGCACTCTTCCAAAGTTCTTTTGAAGGTAACACTACCCCACCAACAACCAAATTTGAGGTTCAACATCTCATATCAACAAGCCTCAGGTCTGTGTGTATATTCAGCTTCCATTTACAGAGTTTATTTTGGTCTTTCCTTTGGTGTGAAAGTAATTAATAAAATCCCAATTCCCCTTTTCTTGTAGCTTTTTGACACTGAACATATTATGCTTCCAGCTTGCAGGGAATGCCAGAAGCTTCTATCACTCACACCCCCAGTTATCAGCAACCTGATTTCCTTCCCCCACTTCTTAACATAGTCAAACTGATAGAGAGCTGCGAAGAAGAGACATACAGTGCATTCTACAGAGAACCAACAATCTCCTGCCAACAGAGTTGTTATGATTAATTGCCACCTAGACGGAAGGTAGGGTGTTTTGAAACAAGGGGGAAAGATAAAAATGGCCTCAAAAATTTGAAGGGTCAAGCAATTTAACTGGCTAGAAAATAACCAATTAAGGCAAAAGAGAACATGTTAAAGGTGAATCGGTTCTTAATGACAAGCAATAATGACAGGTCACAGAGGTGCTCCTCAGATCAAGAAAGATCACATATTTTTGTGTGTGTCTTGATGTATAAATATGAAAGAGAATAAAGAATTGCAGCAATCACATTAATTCATAAATGGCAAGTTTCGTGAGCAGAGTTCATGCATATGGATGAAAATTTGAGCAATAATAAACTGGATTGGCACCATTTGTCTTTAAACAACACACACATTTGATGGCAGATTGAGTCATTTAGTTTGATGCAGGAATGAAGGTCAGAACCAGGCATTTGTGATATATGCTTAGCTGCCAGAGAAATGGCAGCTCTGGGTCTCTCCACATAGAAATTAAGACATTGATGGTCCCTCCATTAGACTGGCTTTTGGCTCTTCCTTCCCAAAACCGTTTCTACTGGAAACCATTTCCACCTGGCTTAATCATAAGAGGACAGACAGGAAATCCAACGCATCAGAGCAGCCTGGACCACTGCCAATTTCGATCATCAATGACCATTCTAAGCGGTCGATCCTTTAAGAGTTGATACCTGATTCAGTTGTCTCTCTCTCTTCCCTCCCCATTCATTTCCCCTTTTGTTTCACAGAATCATAGACTTAAAGAATCTTACAGTTGGAAGGGGCTCAAGGATCATCTAGTCCACCCCGGCAATTCAGGAATCTCAGCTAAAGCATCCATAACAAATAGCTATCCAACCTCTGCTTAAAAACTTCCAAAGAAGGAGAGTTCACTAGCTTTCGTGGGAGTCTGTTCCACTGCCAAAAAAAATGTCAGAAAGTTTTTGCTGAATGTTCAGTTGGAATCTCCTTTCTTGTAATTTGAAGTCATTGTTTTGAGTCCTACCTTCCATAGCAGAATAAAGCAAGTTTGTTCCCTCTTCCATGTGACAGCCCTTAAGGTATTTGAAGATGGCGATCATATCTCCTCTCAGTCTCCTTTTCTCCAGGCTAAGCATACCCAGCTCCTTCAAGGGCTCCTCATAAGGCTTAGTTTCCAGACCCTTGATCATTTTGGTTGCCCTCCTCTGCACACATTCCAGCTTGCCAACATCCATCTTAAATTGTGGTGCCCAGAACTGGACACAGTACTCCAGGTGTGGTCTGACCAAGGCAGAATGGAGAGGTACTGTTACTTCCCTTGGTCTGGACACAAAACTTCTGTTGATGCAGCCGTATAGTGTCCAGATCAACTTTTGTCTCTTATTCTTATAATTTGCATTTATTAATTGCTTACCACAAAGACATCTCAGAGAAAGTTACAATAATAAAATATACATGATACAAGATGTTTAATACATCAAAAAAGGTAAAATAACATTAATGCACTAGGAGTGGTCACACAAAACAAACAAACAATCCTACCCCAGCCCACTAACAGATGAAAATGAACACAGGCTTGGCTATCATGATATCCCATCACCCTACTTCAGAGCCAAAGGCCTGCATGAACAAGAATGCCTTTTCCTGACACCCAAAAGTTGACAGTGATGTCCACCAGGCATGTGCCTATGATGAGAACATTCCATGAATTGAAGTCCACCACTAAAAAGGCTTGTTATTGTATTGCCATCCTCTGCACAACACAAACAAGAAGAAGAAGAAGAAGAAGAAGAAGAAGAAGAAGAAGAAGAAGAGTTTGGATTTGATATCCCGCCTTTCACTCCCTTTAAGGAGTCTCAAAGCGGCTCACATTCTCCTTTCCCTTCCTCCCCCACAACAAACACTCTGTGAGGTGAGTGGGGCTGAGAGACTTCATGGAAGTGTGACTGGCCCAAGATCACCCAGCAGCTGCAGGTGGAGGAGCGGGGAATCGAACCCAGTTCACCAGATTAGGAGACTACCGCTCTTAACCACTACACCACACTGGCTCCCTCAGGTAATGAACAAGGGCCTCAGGTAATGAACGTAGGCTTTGGGTATGTTCATGTGGTGAGAGGCAGTCCTTAAAGGTATTGGCACCCAGAGCTGCAAAAGGCTTTGTCCTTTGCCTGAATTGGTCCAATCATTGCCTCACGTGGGAGTGAGTTCCATACTGAGCTACATGAAAATGTACAGTGGTACCTCAGGTTAAGTACTTAATTCGTTCCGAAGGTCCGTTCTTAAGCTGAAACTGTTCTTAACCTGAAGCACCACTTTAGCTAATGGGGCCTCCTGCTGCCGAGCGCCGACGGAGCCTGATTTCTATTTTCATCCTGAAGCAAAGTTCTTAACCTGAAGCACTATTTCTGGGTTAGCGGAGTCTGTAACCTGAAGCGTATGTAACCCGAGGTACCACTGTACTTTCTTTTGTATGTCTTAAATCTTCCAGCATTCCTTGGATGGTGCCAGGTTGTAGCGTTTTGAGAGGAGAAAAAACGTTTCTCTGTCCACTTTCTTCATACAATGCATGATTTTATACACTTCTGAAGAAAAAGAATCACAATGCAATCACATCAGGTTTGCTTTTGAGGGGGAGGTGTTTCATCCATGCACATATGCTCCTCAGCAATATTTTGAGGGGGAAGATGCAAATGAGCTGAAACAGCTGGTTCCTGCTGAATACTACGTGCTACATATTCCAGTGCTGGCATGGATTTTAGAAGTTCTCCAAGTTAAACCAAATTCAGGAAGAATGAAGAATGTGGAACAGAAGACTTGTTTGCATAGCCGTGCAGAGTAGTTCATACATGGAAATTACTTATTGTCAACAGACACAAGAAGAAAGAAGAAAAGAACTAATACCAGTAAACTGGAAGAAGCAAAGATCACCAGTGTTGAAGCAATGATTCTTCAACATCAACTTTTTTGGACTGGTCATGTTGTGCGGATGCCTGACGATCATCTTCCAAAGCAACTACTCTATTCCGAACTTCAAAATGGAAAGCGTAATGCTGGTGGTAACAAAAGAGGTTTAAAGACTGTCTCAAGGCACATCTTTAAAAATGTAGTATAATCACCAACAATTAGGAAACACTTGCCTCTGAGCGCTCCAATTGGCGAACAGCCTTTACCAAAGGTGTCATGGGCTTTGAAGACACTCAAACCTGGGACGCATGGGAGAAACGTGCTAAGAGGAAGGCACACTTTGCAAATCCACACTGTGATCAACTCCCACCTGGAAACCAATGTCCCCACTGTGGAAGGACATGTGGATCCAGAATTGGCCTCCACAGTCATTACAGACTCATTGTTAAAGCTGTGCTTATGGAAGACAATCTTACCTGGCTACGAGTGATTGCCAAAGAAAGAGAAGAAAGAAGCGGGAAACATAGCAACTATAGGTTCTGCCAATCAGAATAATTCCACCAAATTAACCAAAACAAGTGAGGCCCAGGCTGTGAGGTGAACTGATCTCAGTGTTCCTGAGCCAGCTGCAAGCCACACACTGGGAACACACAGCAAGGCCTGAGGAACCCCACAAGGCCCACCCCAGCCGCTCCTTGAGTGTATGAACCTGACATGTGTGCCATGGCCCCATTGGCCAACATTCACACCAATGCACCTGACAGGCCCCAAAACCACTTTGGCTCAGATCAGTCGGTTGTGGTTTGAGGACCAGTTCCCCGCATAGTGGAATGAAAACACATGGACACGTGATATAAGGTTAATGGGCAAGAAAAGGCCACAACTTTATTGATTACAGCAAGTGAAAAGGTATTGGCTTAGGCATTGGATTACGTCAGTTGACTCCACCCACTCAGAGAGGGGTGAGTCTAGAAAGGGGGGTTTATTCACCAGTAGGTGGAGCCTGTTGATGCTAATCCAACTATAAGCTCTCCCCTGATGTCACCGAGGGTCGTGCCATGGCCTCCCGCCACGCAGGCATCGGACAGAATACACGACCGCCGGATTCCTTTAACGGAATACCCAAAAATTGAAGGCGTAGGCGATGGCCACACCTAGCTCTTCCACACACCACAACACATTATTCCAATGCCTAACCTACCCACCAATACCACGAAGGTTGTGACGATTGCTACGAGGTAGGCGAAAAAACCACAAAGCCTAATGCCAAATGGAAAAATTCCTACCAGGCCCCCCAGACAACCAGGGCGACCAACCTAAGGTCCATAGCAAGGCCAAAAGAAACTGAGACCCTGATCTCTAAGGGAGTGGAGGGTGGGTGACTCGCAACGGGACGACGAAGAGTGAGGGCCGCGTGGCTGGCGCAGCAGCGATTTACGCTGCTGTCCACGCCCCTACCTGGTTGGGTGCCTGCCCGTGGGCGTGGTGCACCAGCCAGGTGAGAGGAGGCAGGGGGCTAATGCCCCTTGCTTGAGGCGGGAACTGGCTCCCACCCACAACCACTCCCCTCTTTTGCAGGAGGAGAGTCTTTTTCCGAAACCGACTCACCCACAAGGTCCAAATGCCAATTAGCCAAATTTAAACAAAACAGCTCTCCAGTCATAGAGTGTGAAGTAGGGGGAAAAGAGGTGGCACAGGTCGATTAGTGTCACCCTCACCCCCAAAAATCCCACTCAGTCTCCTTCAGTAGGTTAACTAGCAGAGCCCCCACACTGCAAAAGGGTGGGAAGGTGGGTGTCTCAGTGAGAAGAGGTGAGAGTTCTGGGTGGAACAGGCTTAAACAACCTGACCTCTGCCTCTCGCCTATAGGGCAAACCACCCCCACTTAATTGCCCATGCTACCCTTGTAGGAGAGTCCATCTCTCCTCTTCTTGCAGGGGTGAAGGGTGTGGCAAATGTCTCCCCACCATACAGGGAAGGAATGGAACCCACATTTTAGGGGAGTTTTTAATGTTTTAATGTTTTATTGTGTTTTTAACATTCTGTTGGGAGCTGCCCAGAGTGACTAGGGAAACCCAGCCAGATGGGTGGAGTATAAATAATTTATTATTATTATTATTATTATTATTATTATTATTATTATTATTACTACTACTACTACTATTATTATTATCATACAGTACACAGCTAAGCCACGAAACTTGCTACCACAAGATGCAGTGAAGGTTGCCAGCTTGAGCTATTTTAAAAGGCAACTAAACAAATTCAGTGTGTATCTCTTAAGGAAATCAGCCCTGAGTGCTCACTGGAAGGACAGATCCTGAAGCTGAGGCTCCAATACTTTGGCCACCTCATGAGAAGAGAAGACTCCCTGGAAAAGACCCTGATGTTGGGAAAGATGGAGGGCACAAGGAGAAGGGGACGACAGAGGATGAGATGGTTGGACAGTGTTCTCGAAGCTACCAGCATGAGTTTGACCAAACTGCAGGAGGCAGTGGAAGACAGGAGTGCCTGGTGTGCTCTGGTCCAGGGGGTCACGAAGAGTCGGACACGACTAAATGACTAAACAACAACAATATCTGATATCAGAGGCAGTGAACCACTGAATACTGGTTGTTGGTGAGATTACGATTGCTCTCATACCTTCTCGCAAGTCATGGTCTTGGCCACATAGTCACATTTAGAATCAATTTGCCACCCATGCAAACATGTTTGGCCACTTCAACAAGCTTCTTGTAAGTTTTAGTGTGTGCTTGTTGTCAATAGTGCTTGAACTTAGCTGCACCATAGAAGCCCGTTCTGAGGTTTGTTGAAATTTTCAGCGCAGCAGCAGGGAGCTCTCCAACTCTGTCCTGGTTGATATCTGGCAGTCCCTACTGGATTTGTCTCGACTGCTGGATATGGCTTGCCTTGCTGCTGTTCTTTGGGATGCAACCTCTGCCCCATCAGCAAGGGCTTCAATATTAGGCCAGCCTCCCCTGGAACTGTACATTGGAGGAACACAAGACACATTCAGCAGGAGTAATCCCATTGTGTTTCTGCATTTTGAGTTTCTGCATTGTGTTTCTGTATTTGCTGCATCTTCCAACTCAACCAGTTTAAGAAAAATCCAGCAATATAAGCCCACAGATAGTGGTCAATCCATGGAAATGGAGAATGGGCTGACCTTTCTTTGCCCTTTGCCTCTGCCAAGAATGACACAAATTGTAGCCCTGTAGAAATACATCTGTGCTATTCTGGGCCCTCT